GACTAAACTAGAGATTAATTTACTATCCCTTAATAATGTGCCAAAATTGGTTTCCGTAAAGTGGAACTGCCTATAGCGCTTCTTCTTTGCTGCAGCCACTGAACAAAGACATAGTCCCAATCAACACGATATTATTATACTTATGTCTGGCTGAAGAGAGCAGAAAACCACAGGTGAGTAGATGAGGGAGGACCCTAGGGTACACTGTGGTGAGCTTTAGTGAACGGATGAGTTAACAGTAGTAGGATCTGCTTGTCCAGAGACCTTGGTTGCTTACACCCTGGTGGTAGCTGAGTTTCAAATGACCTAGGTTACTGATTAAATGTCCTCCAGGTTAGAGAAAGGTCACTGTATTGAGCAAAGCCAAGTTCGTTCAACTGTTTCTGAGGTTTTCTATGTAGCAGGTACCAAAGATATAGACCTACACATATACACCAAACACCCCACCCTTCCCCTCAAGATGTTTGGGAGAGTGAAAATATACAAAAGAGTGTTAAAAAGGAAATTTCAGTTAATATTCTTTTGCTTGAAGCAATCAAATCCAACCCAAAGTGATTTAAGGCGGGGAAATATCATTTGCAGACTTACATAAATGTGCAAGTCAAGAGTACACCTGCCTTCGGAACACAAGGAGGTGATGGGAAGGGTGGCTAGCTGCTTCCATGAGCAATCAGCCCCTTTGCCATGAGATTAGAGCTGGATGGCGCCCAGCTATCATTACTGAACATTTTGATCAAAGATTCTTTAGAAGTACCCTGAACGAAAGGGGGGGAGTGCAGAACAGAATTTAAAATTAGCATGAACTCTCTAACTGCCTGTAGTCATGGAGGCTGAATAAATCCCTGAAACAGTTGCCTTGTTGTTGTTGTTCTGCGCCACCGAGTCGGTTCCGACCCATAGTGACCTTAAGCACAACAGAGCACAACTTTTCCATCCTCACCATTGTCCCAGTGCCTGCAGCCATTGATGCAGCCACTGTGTCAATCCACCTCATTGTGGGCCTTCCTCTCCTCCACTTTAGCAAGGGGATGTCATCTTTAGATCATAAACCAAATATATTCCCTGAAGTCTCCTTGAAAACCAAACAATACATATCATTGTGAATGAGGGGAAGTGTGGAGTGTAGACCCAAAGCCCATTGGCAATTGGACATCCCCTTACGAAAGGGTCTCAGGGGGTCTCAGGGAGGGGACGAGCCAGTCAGGGTGCAGTGTAGCAATGATGAAACATACTACTTTCCTTTAGTTCTTTAATGCATCCTCTGGCCCCACTATCATGATCCCAATTCTACCTTACAAATCTGGCTAGACCAGAGGATGTACACTGGTACAGATAGGAACTAGAGACACAGGGAATCCAGGGTGGATGATCTCTTCAGGACCAGTGCTGAGGGTGGTGATACCGGGAGGGTGGAGCGAAGGTGGGGTGGAAATGGGGAACCAATTACAAGGATCTACATATAACCTCCCTGGGGGACAGACAACAGAAAAGTGGGTGAAGGGAGACGTCAGACAGGGCAAGATATGACAAAATAATAATTTATAAATTATCAAGGGTTCATGAGGGAGGGGGCAGTGGGGAGGGAGGGTAAAAATGAGGAACTGATGCCAGGGGCTTAAATGGAGAGCAACTGTTTTGAGAATGATGAGGGCAATGAATATACAAGTGTGCTTTACACAATTGATGTATGTATGGATTATGATGAGTTGTATGTGCCCTAACAAAATGATAAAACAAATAACAACACACAAGTAAACATCTTTCTGGTGTTCTCTGAAGAAAAAAAAACCACAACAAACAATACTTTAGCTCAACTGGTATAAAATGTCTGCCTTGAGCATTGTGCTCTTTCAAGATCAACCTATATAGAAAGGGTCAAACTGATAACAGCAACTCGAAGATTAGATAGGAAACTTGCCACAGAAAGGTGAACCATCAGGAAGGGAGGACGAGTTGGTAGCAACTTGGGTGGTAGGGAGGTAACACTGACTTCTCTGCATAAAGTGAAGAGGCCTTGGGAGCATGCAGTGATGAAGATCAGACGACAGCCTTCAGTGTAAGTTACACCTCAGCGTAAAGAGAACAACAATCCTCCCAACTGAACAGTAAGCAAATCATGACAAACAGAAACGATTGGCATTGTCAAGGATTTCAATTTACTTGGATCCAAAATGAATGTCCATGAAAACCACAGTCAAGAAAGCAAATTCTTTGCATTGGGCCGAGCTTCTGCAAAAGACCACTCTAAAGTATTAAAAAACAAAGATGAGACTTTAAGGACTAAGGTGCTCCTAGCCCAAGCCAAGGTATTTTCAAGCCCTTTGTAGACAGGTGGGAGCTGGTCAATGCATAAGGATGATTGAAAAAGAACGGATGCATTTGAATTATGATGGCAGCAAAGACTATCGACTGCACTGTGAATTGTCAGAAGAGCAGGCAGCTCTGTGCTGAAAGAAGCCCAGTCAGAATATCCCTCAGAAGAAAGAGTGGCCAGATTTTGTCGGTTGTACTTTGAACAAGGTGTAAGGAGTCCCAGGAGAAGGACATCATGCTCGATAAAGTAGAGGGCCGGAAAACAAGGGGCAGATTCTCAACAAGATGGATTGACACAATGGTTGTAACGATGGGCCCCTTTCAGGGCCAAAGAGCTAGCCAGTGATTCTAAGGGCGGTACAGGACTAGGCAGTGTTTCATTTGTGGTAAGATAATTGCTATATGTTGGAACAAACTTGACAGCACGGAATAAAAGCAATAAATATAATTATGAATGGAATGTGATCATAGAGTGTAGAAAGTGCCTTTGTGTTGACAATTAAATGGAGATTTGAGAGATGGACAGGGCTGTGTGATATTGTGGGTTACATATGGGGCCAGCAGTTCTAAATTATCAGTGCTCTGCGGGAGAAAAACAAGGCTTTCTACTCTCATCAAAGGTTACAGTCTCACACCCTCCTTGCCACTAATTTTGGATCACTTGTTGCTCCCCTGTCCCTGGGTTGATCAATGCCACCTCCTTACCCCGCCTCCCCCTCTCCCATGTCCCCCCCCCCACCAACCATCAGTCCGTTGTTTTCTCCTCCCTGGGGGATGAACAACAGAAAAGTGGGTGAAGGGAGACATCAGACAGTGTAAGATATGACAAAATAATAATAACTTATGAATTATGAAGGGTTCATGAGGGAGGGGGGAGGGGGGAAATGAGGAGCTGATATTAAGCTGCTATCAAGTAGAAAGCAAATGTTTTGAGAATGATGATGGCAACAAATGTACAAATGTGCTTGACACAATGGATGTACGTATATATGGATTGTGATAAGAATTGTACGAGCCCCCAATAAAATGATTTTTTTTAAAGTTACAGCCTCAGAAATCCATAGGGGCAGTTCTACTCAGTCCAATAGCATCACAATGAGTTTGGAATTTGGTAATGAAGCATTTGTCAGGAGGGTTGGCTTATGAACATTCCAAGTAGAGACAGAGACCCTGAGGTGGGAGGGAACAGAGTCGGGTGGACACACAGGGGAGAGCAAATGAGGGCAGAGCTCAGAGAAAGAATGGAGTAAGCTGAGCATGGAGAATATGGCAGGAGCCAACCTATAGAGCAGCGGTTCTCAACTGTGGGTCGAGACCCCTTTGGGGGTCAACCGACCCTTTCATGGGGGTTGTCTAAGACCATCGGAAAACATATAAATGTTTCACAATATATAACTACATATTGTTTTATGATTAATCACTGTGCTTTAATTATGTTTAATTATGTTCAATTTGTAACAATGAAAATACATCCCGCATATCAGATATTTACATTATGATTCTTAACAGTAGCAAAATTACAGTTACAAAGTAGCAATGACAATAATGTTATGGTTGGGGGTCACCCCCACATGAGGAACTGTATTAAAGGGTCGCAGCCTTAGGAAGGTTGGGAACCACTGCTATAGAGTATCTCTAAGGCCCTGAGAGGAGTTTGGATTTGAGTACACTCACAATGGAGAATATGATTTCAAAAATCTCCTGAAAGTTTGAATATAAGTTCAAGGATAGGTAGACCTAGCTTCAATAATCCACAACAAGGTCCATGGGGTGCTCAGAATTCCTCTTAGTAATTGAGGATGACCCAACAGAACTTTCTACACAGAAGGAAATGTTCTATGGGCAGTTAGTTCAATCCTATATCCACTTTCCAATCCCGGACTTTTAAGCAACCAAGGAACTGAATTTCAAATTTTATTTAATTTCAATGAATGGTTACGGACAGGGGATTTCAAATCCACATTTCAGAGCCAGGCTCTGGGGAAAGGGACATTGTTGTCCTGGGCACCTTAAATCCCCAGTCCATTCAGACAGGTCAAGTTGGGGGGAAAGCCTCCGGGGCATTCCGAGCTTCACCTTGGCCCCGGAGAGCCGCGTGCCCGGTGCGGGAGGCCCCGCGCGTCCCCAGCGGCGGCTCGGCTCGGCACAAAGCTTTCGGAACCGCGCTTGCC